AGGAATGCCACGGCCTCCTGGTGAACCCAGTCTACCTGGTTCTCCAGGAATAACCATGCCTGGGTCACCCTGCAACACAGAGAGCAATGTAAACAATCCACTATGTTTTTGCAAATCTGCCAAAATATTTTCTCCACTGTGTGACCAGCTAACTTCTTTTATTAGGGTAATTTTCTCCATTCCCTGGGGATCCTTCACATTATAATTTTTAGTGGCTCCAATTCAGCAGACCATGTTCCTTATTGACCACCTGCAGGTTGCATACCAGAGGAGAAATTCTTCTAGACAGCTTTTGAACTGTCACCAAAATCTAAGAAATTGCTACTGAGCAATGCAAGACACTTCCCTCCATTTGGCCTTTACTGCATTGTGATGCCTTCTGTAGCTGTGAAAAGCTCTGGACCGGTATCTGAAAATCTGTTTGAAGTTTGTGAAAATACAAATTTATTTTTATATGATAGTAATATTTTTATCAAAATATTTATTTAAATAATCAAGGTCAGCACCCAGATATGTCTTGGAATACTCAGTTATAGGGTTTTTTTTTTTAAATCATTCTTCTGAACATTATTTTCCATGAAGACTGGTTTTAGCACAAATGTCCCAAGTCTATTCCCTGAAAGGAGAGTTTGAATTAGGTTTTTTTTGGCTGACTGAACTGCCAGTTGAGTACTAACTTTGAGTACCACAAATCAATATGTTCATGGGGAGGCACTCTTGATCAGGGAGTGTAGTGTTAGGATGAGGGGTAACAGTTTTAAGCTGAAAGAGGGCAGATTTAGGTTAGAAATTTAGGAAGAAATTTTTTCCTGTGAGGGTGGTTAGACACTGGCACAGGTTGCCCAGAGAAGCTGTGGATGCCCCATCCCTGGAGGTGTTCAAGGCCAGGCTGGATGAGGCTTTGAGCAACCTGGGCTAGTGGAGGGTGTCCCTGCCCATGGCAGGGGGTTGGAACTTGATGATCTTTAAGGTCCTTTCCAACCCAAACCATTCTGTGATTCTATGATAAAGCAGGTCAGTAGAGCTGAGCTTATACCAGTTACTGATGATATACTTGGACCAAAAAGGCCACTCCACATACAGCTGTTTCATGGCATCAAACACAGATTAAATAATAATAATTAAAAAAATCCACAACCTCAAATTCCACTTTGTCATGTCAAAAAAACACACAAAAGAATGACATACGAGCACACAAAAAAAGAAATTACACTTTTCCAAAACACTTAGGTGTTATTAGGTGTTATTTATTTTGAATCCTGATTGCAGAGTAGTCAAGAATCCTATATGAAGATATGCCATCAGTAGATTAGCTTCTGTTAATCAGCAAGAGTGGCTGCAGTATTACCTCCAACCTACTTTCTTTATGCTTCAATTCAACAGGAAATTTGCTTAAATTAAATGCATACTTGTCACTGACCGCCATCAAATATGTGCTTAATTGCAATTTCTGAATAGCCATCTTTTCAGAAGCTGTGACATTAATTTTATGCTGTAAATAATGCAATATCTTTTTTGTGCTCTGAAAACCAAAACATCCCAAACACTTGGATTTCTGAAATCCTTTACCTGTATTTAAAATCTGGGCTTCAGTCCCTTTTTAGATAATTTAATTTCATAGTTTGTGTATCGCTGGTCAGGAAATATAGGAACTCCTATATTCCTTACACTTCTCAATTTAATTGCTCAGTGTCACATTTAATGAATGGGACCTATGGAAAAGTCTGTGCTGTATTTCTAACCAAACCTTTTCTCCTGGTTGTCCTAGGTTTCCAGCTCGGCCTGGATCTCCAGTCTTTCCTTCACAACCTGGTGACCCTCTGCCTCCAGCAAGTCCTTTATCTCCTGCAAAAGGAATTAAATGGCAGTACAGATGCTGTGGTTATCGCTTTATTTTACAAATGGTTCTTTGTATAGATGCACTTATGAGCCTCTGACACTAAAGTAGCTTACATGAGCTGGAGAGAGCATCCTGATTTCAGAGCTGATGTGACACACTGCACCTTGTTCCTTACATATTCACTCAACATTGACCATAACACTGCTTGGTTACTTGCTTCAAATCAGTTATTTAACATGGGATTTTTTTTTTTTAAAGTGAAACTATTCTGATGTCAGTTCCCTACTGTTTTCTTTAACAAGCAGCTCAGCAGTAGTTTTAGTATCAGAGCTTCCGTCCCCCCCTGCCCCCATCCTGACAGGATTATGAGAATTTCTTAATATCTTTAGTGTCCAAAGGGGGAATATGACTTTACATGAGCAACTGCCAAATTTACAGTATTCAAAATGCTTTTCATTCCCTGCACATTAGAGCAGGTATTGCATTGTACACAACCAAAATTGATTAAAAATAAAGCACTGACAGGTATACAGCTCTGTCTCTGTAACACGTACGTAGGTAAAGTGAATCTATCTGAAGTAAGTGTGGCACTCAAATGAGCTGCACCTGTTTAGGCAGTATTCCAGGAAGCATCAATGTATTTTAAAATATTTTCCTACTACCAGTATTGATACTTGATTCTCTGAAATACCTGAAAATATTTCACAATTGCAATTTATAAGGCTTAAGGCAGTAAATTACAAGAGTGTTAAAAACACTTGCCTGTCTGATTAATGTTCATTGATTTTTTTTAAACTTGTTGATTGTTTTCAATGTGGACAAAAAAAAAAGTAAATTTGGTTTTGTTGTTGTTTTTCCTTTTTTTGAAGATGAAGATCAAAAAGAGTATTTTACCTTTTGGACCTGGATTTCCAGGAAATCCAAGCCCTGGAAAGCCTGTGTCACCTGTTGGCCCCGGATGTCCTGAATCACCTGGCTGACCTCTTGCTCCAACCCTACCTGTACAAAGAAAATAAGTAAACTGTGATGTATCTTACCACAGAATATCAACTTTTAAGGTTAGGTGTTTTATATTTTATCACTATTAATTAGGACACCACTTTAAATTATATTAGAACTTAGACACTATTTCTCCTCCACAGTAGGTCTTCACAGTCAAAATGCTAACTGTGTTCACAGTATCAAAGCAGGCATGAACCTATGAGTTATGTTTTTAAGCAATTTGCCCAAATTCCAGGCTTCTAGGAACAACTATGTGCAGATACAAATCTTACACTTGTTGAGAAGATACAAACACACATTATAGGGGTGAGGCTTGGAACAGAAGCAACTATAAGAACAGAAGCTACCACAAAGCTGCCAATAAATTTTCCTATGCTATTCAGGGCAGCTCTAAGGACCATTGTTCTACAAAACCAATGGCTTATGGTTAGCTTGAATGTTACTTACTGTCCTTCACTGCACTCAAAAATTCTGCAAATTTTAAAACACCCTTTTATAGTTATTTCAAAGTAACCCAGCAGTTTTATCTGGCCAGAGCTGGGAGAGAAATCTCCATCAGATTATCTCTGATTTTCACTGTATTTAGTGCAGATATACTCACCAGGCACTCCTGGGGGTCCAGGTAAACCAGGTTGTCCTTGAGGTCCTGGCAACGCAGGTAATGGAGTTATCCTACTGGTCTCTCCTTTCAGACCTTCAGCAAATACATGATCAAAGATTACAAAGGCTTATAGTTTGGCAATATGTAATATTAAGCATCTAAAAATATTAGTGATCAGTCCACTCAGTTAAAAATACAGTCTTCTACAGTTTCCATATTTCTGAAACTCCAACAGACTGAGAAGCCTTCAGATCCTGGCTTCATAAAGCCAAAGAATTTTACTGACACCATGCCCATCTGCAGTCTTCCTCTCAGACCTCCTGCAGTCTAGTGGAGACCCAGAAAAGGAAGAACAAATTCATCAGGAAAACGATGCAATTGAGAAATGCTTGACCTGCAAGTCCATTGCATAAAGATTTAGTGGGTATTCTCGTTAAGTAACCTTTACTATATCTGCTGTCCAACTTTGAGTTCTTCCAGATTATGCTTGCCTATAAATACATACACTGGCATGCTTTCAGCACTCAATAATTTTTGAGTTCGTCATATTTTCCCCTGGTGACTTAGCTCCCACTAACGATTATGATTTGATGCATATCTAAAGACTTTTTTTTTCATGAAGAGGACAGTCAAGCAGTGGAATGGGTTGCCCAGAGACGATGTGCTGTCTTTGTCCTTGGAAGTTTTCATGGCCCAACTGCATAATGACTTGAGCAACTTGCTCTGATCTCATAGCTGACCTTGCTCTGAGCAGGAGTTTGGACTGAAGACCTCATAGGGTCCCTTCCAACGTCAATTATCTTATGACCCTAAGACTTTTGCTATTATCTCCAGTGGGACCAAAGTTGGAACAACACTGTGGAAATCTCATGTCAAGAAAAATAGCCCATTTTTCATAAATCATATCTTTGACTTCAATCTCTCTCTGCAACTTCAGACAAGTACTCTTTAAAATAGGTAAAACATGGTAAAATAGGAAGTTACAAACCAGCTTCTCCAGGTAATCCAGGTGGGCCAGGTATTCCTTTAGAGCCTTTGAAACCTCTTATTCCTTGTGGTCCATATCCTGGCAGTCCAGGAAGCCCCATCTCTCCAGGAAGACCAAGGCTGCCGGGCAATCCAGGTAGTCCTCTGTCTCCTTTTGAACCAGCCAATCCCTATTCATGATCACACCATGTGTGTATACCCAGCATTACTTGCTTTCAACATCAGCTTTCATAACAAAATGTCCAAAATGCCCAATGTCCCAAGACTATAATCTTGCACTGCTTCAGTAACAAAGTAGCTCTGCTAATTTAAGAGGAATTTTTCATCTGATTTTCTTATGATTAAAAGAATATAAATTTTAATCTCAATGGTTAAAAATAGAGGGCTATTAAGAGCGAAATAGCAAAAATAAATACAACATCTTCATTTTTCAATCTCTGTGGCATTATACTGTACACTTTTTTCTTTTTAAAACAGGTTTGCTAAAAAACCACCTCAGCTCTGATTCTCCTTGAATACTGTAGAGTCAGGTTTAGAGACAGTTATATCTGAATCGCTGTAAGAGTTTCTCAGCCAAAAACAGCACAACAATAATTGTTACTTTTGTTTCTGCTGAGGAGAGAGCTCTGCCCTAACAATTTTAGTTTTATGGTCAGTCCTCTCAGCTTTTGTGGTTTCTCTCAGCCCTGACTGAAGATTAACTCCTAAAGACCAAACATGAACTACTTGAACTATTATTTCCTTTCAAGCATTATAAGTAGTCAGGAAAACTGTTTTTTTAAAAAAAATCTTACTCATCATAGGAATCCAAGATAATGCCCCAATATAAATACCCAAACTAACACCACAATAGACTGCCAAGGTTTTTCAACAACATGTACCTACAGTAGCCTCATCTCGCTCTGGTATTATATAAGAATATTTACTCTTATTCTTTCCTGCATAGTGATTATTGCATACTGGTTGCTATAGTTGAGCATAGTACCCTTAAGTCAGGTAGAAGATATTCACTGAAAGTATCTGAATAGATAAAACTGAGTGTTGCACAAGATATAAATACTGACTTAGGTTTTCATGAATTCTGTATTAATTGCCAACAGTGCATACCCACCTCTTCACCTTTAGAACCCTTGGATCCTTTAGAGCCAGGTCTTCCCAGAAATCCACTTGAACCTTTTCTTCCTTTGTCTCCTCTGGCCCCTGGATCTCCTCGCTCACCTTTTGGCCCTTCTGGATACACATATCCTGGCTCACCTTTTGATCCTTTATGTCCTTGATCTCCTCTAAAACCTGGTGGTCCCTGGAACAGAGCAATCAAAAGAATTTCAGTGCTAGGTGAAACATGTCAACTGTCTTCAAGCTCTTTCTTTCTAAATTAAATACCTGAGAGTGGTTCTCTTTATTCTCATCTTTATTCACTGTAACAACACACTTCAATGAACAGGGTTTGCTGGGTTTTGGTTTTTTTCTCCTGCCTTTACTCTTTTTTGCCCTGATTATAATTTAATTTATGCTACTATAAGCACGAATAATGCAGGATCATTTAATGGATCAGGCTATTAGCTACCTGTTTGTGCTTTGGTGGCACAAAAAGAAGGACAAGAATGTACCTTAAAATCTGATTAGACATTTCTCCTCCACATGGGAATATCTCCCCAGGGACACTATAACTGCCACAGTTGTCTCTGTTTGTGGTTAATTTCTCCTCTCCCTTCATTCCCCCTCAGGGTACAAAGTGAGTACTCTATCCCAGCCAAAACCAGAAGAAGCTGAAAGCACGCTGAGCTCTAGTGATCTTGGGCTCATGAGCTCTTGGGAGCCTTCTGAAAATGCATGTTAGCAGACTCATACTGCACCTGTACAGTAACCACCACAATGAATACTTATGCATTACAATTTTTTATTGGACAGCACTGAGTGCAATTTCCCATAAATAATTACTACTACAGGCACAGGTTAGAACAACCAAATGGTATGTGTGTGGCAGCAGGTGTCAGCCTTCCCTCTTCATAATGTTTCCCAAGAGGGAATGTCCTTTGCATCCCTGAAGAGGCTAATATGAGAACCAGGTTTTTCTGCACAGCTGGGGCTTTGCAAGTCCCGAGTATGCTAGAAACAAGAGAAGTAAGAAGTCTGGCAAAAATCACAGCACGCAAAACTCTGTATGTGCTTTACAGCCACCGCCATGATTATAGAATTATGCAGATGAACAGTGAACTGTAAACTACCCATACCAAGCAGAAGAAGCAGGCTAGCTACCATGAAATGCAGCACAGGTTCATCATATAGGTATTTAGCTGCCTCACTGCCTGGGCTGAACTTCTTGCTGCACTGAGCAAATTAGGCTCATGTAAAGCTAGGTCAGCCATACATTTGTGGTGGTGCAACCCACACCCTGCTCTCGAGTCCCTCAGTGCTTGGTGGAATTCCTCCCCTCCTGGGTCACATACCAACCTAGGGTGAGTCAGGAATGATTTGTGAAAGTGGTGAACTCAAGCATCAAGGTGCCTCCTTGGCATATCTGTCTCCTGCTTTCCATTATGGCAGCAAACCTGAGCTCTGATGCATCCTCTCAATGTACCTGGCTCTCACTTTAAACAATGGTACCAGTTGATCACTTCCTGACAACCTAATATGTCTGCACCTGGGTCGAAGCCCGAAGGCGGATGATACACACTGGTAACTAGTGTAATGCACCAGAATATTACATCATCCAGGGAGGCCCAAAATGCAAAAAGTACCTGACAAAAGTAAATTATCCCAGACCCTATAAACAGCAAGTCTAAGTGAGACCCTTTGAGCTCTCCTGGCTCACAGCAGGCTGTGTCCACCATCTCCTGTGAGCTGGGACACCTCTCAGGTAAAGAAAGGCCAAGGTGAACTCCATCTTCTCGAGGCTCAATTATCACCCACTGAGGAATGCTGATGCATTGTGAGCATTTACTCAAAACTCAAGAAGGAAGAGGGAAATTTTAGCTATAGGCTATGCTCCTACCTACCTCTCTATCTATATAGAGAAAGAAGAGAGAACTTTCAACTATAGGCTAGTTTCCCGACTTACATATTTCACTAGATCCAAGTATTTCCATGGTGTTTGTGTGTTTGTTTGCGTGTTTGTGTGTTTTGTGTTTATGCATATACCTTTAGGATACCTTGTAGTAAGTTAGTGTGAATCTTGTCATTCTTGAATCTGTAATTAAGTTGCTACTTCAACCACAACATATTCCACTGAATCGCCTTATTAATCATTTAATTGCTTAATGATTGAATGCTACTAAAATTTAACCTTTTATTTACTTCACACGATTAATAAATCTCAAACTGTTGCTAAGTAACCGTGTGAGATATTTCATCTGTGACATTACAGTTTTTACTTGGGCCTCCCACTCAGACACATTCATTACTACAGAAAGAAAACTGTTGAAATCACCCAGTATGACATTGCATGTAACACCAGCCATGAGGTTTCTCTGGAATAATTCTTGCGGGATCTGAAAAATATCAGAAAAAGCCAAGTCTTACTTGAGCTCCTGGAAACCCCGGTGCTCCTGGAGAACCTGGAGAACCTTTTGGACCTGTTGTTCCTTCTCTACCTGCAAAAGAAATGGCATATTTTGTAAAGAAAAATGAAAACAAGGACATGTATTCTGACAACCTCTGATAATCACATCTAATATTTAATGTTTCTGCTTGTTACATTGACTGCATCATCACAGACTGAGCTGGCTTCAGGCTGCACCTAAGCCTATTACCATTCTGACTTCACCTCTTCTAAGGTTTGTGCTCATATCAATGGATGGAGCTGCATCAGGCTCTCACACTCATGACAACCTTAGGGCTAGTTCAAGGACTGCATGCTGCAGACATGTCCATACCCAATCTCATGCTAAAAGCAAAATTATTGGCATTTCCTACTGTCCTGTTAGAAGCAACAAGACAATTTACCAGGCATGCCATCCTGGCCACGTGGCCCAGGAGAACCAGGAAGACCAGGTACTCCCGGAATATACCTGCAATCAGTACACACGGAAGCTTCATCACCTAGAATGAAAAGAATTCATTAGTTGTTTCAGAGCAAGTAATTCCCAAACTTAATTAATGTGTTACATACTTTGTAACAGAGGATGGCTAACATTTTTTGGCCCATGAGCGGCAGAATCATGGCCTTAATATTGTTGGAAGATCACTTCCTACAGAGTACAAAATTACCTGTCGTCGGACAGTGAATCAGAACTGATTACATTTAATTGAAAATGCAGGAACATTCAGTTTAAATCGCTTGATTTTTTCAAGTCTAATTTTAGTAAACCATTTGGATACAATCACACTGCCGATAAGCCAAATTCTCTTGAAAGAACAAAGGGACATAAGCTTTAAACTAACATCGTTCCATAACAGCCTAGGTGACCGTTAATGACTAGCAAGTGGCATAGAGATTCAGCAGCTCCTGTGGTGAAATTTGCAGAAGCAATCTTCTCTCAGAGAACAACTGTTAGTGTTGAACATAACAACAGGAGAATATGAAAACCCAACTAGTCTGTAATAAGTGTTCCAGTGAAGATCCACACCCTGGCTGCAGTGCAGCACAACTACTGTGCAGCACTGGCACGTGCACTGCTCTTTTAGCTGCTGCTTACTGTAAGGGGAGGAAGATATCTTGCTAACCCTAACGAATTTTCTTAAATCTCTGAACTCATCAAATGGCTTAAGAGGTAAATTAAATTCAAAATTTAATGAGGATCTGTAAAGATTACTGGATCATACTATCTACTTATGAGTGATAGTTTTTCAAAACTGACCTTTCACGCCAGTGTCTCCTGGAGGTCCTGGAGGTCCTGTACACCCTGGCTCTCCAGGAAGCCCTGGTAAGCCTGTTCTAAATGTTACTCTACCTGTTAATGAGATGAGCATGGCACCATTACATCAGCAGATTATTCAAACAATTCTCTAGTTGCTAAGAGATAAAAAAGTTGCAGGGATGGGCTGGAGACAGCATTCTGATCCTTATGGGTCTGTTCCAACTTAAGATATTCTATGATTCATCTAAAAGAGAGAACTACCTGGACAAATCCAAAACATATCATATCTTTGAGGATAAATATGATAATTCCAAAGTAAATCTCAGCAGACTGTTAGATCCATCTGTCTAGCCTTTAAAAAGCATAGTCCCTTCTGGGGAAAGTATTTCCATTTTATTTGAATCAGCAGAAACATAATCCTTTCCTTTACCACGAGTGGAAGAGAAACTTTTTTTAAAATCCTAAACTATTAATGATGCTTGTGTATCTTTGACAGACTTATTCTGGTGTATTTACTATTACTTCGGAAAAACAGAACATGCATTGAGCTCGTCCTAAGGTAATATATTTGGGGAATGGCTATATTTTTCAAAGAGAGAGAAACAAGAAGCACTATGTTGGCATTGGTTCAGAAAACCTTGTTTTTGACGTACTACATATAAAAGAAACATTATGCTATTGATACTCCTTGTTAAAGAGGTATTCCTAGTTAATATATTTTCTAGAAGTTTTATAAAACTGCTACTGCTTTATTATCATGCTGCCAGAACTTAAGACGTGCTCTAAGGCCCACTAAGACATCTGGAGGCATGCAAGTGATTTCTCTAGCTTTCAGATTAGCCCCTTCTGAACATAGTTTAACAGACTTTCTACAACTTTTGGAAGAATTAATTTTAAGAACAGATTTTCTCTCATTAGTCTCTCCTCATTTTATGTAGTAGATTTTTATAGTCACAGTTTCACAAAAAGGTGAGAAATCTTTATACTGGGAAGCCATTGTGTCTTCCCCACAGAATTTCAACAGCGATGGAGCACAGACCTTCAGTACATACGTGTTTTCATGAATATCCTAAAACAAAATTTTGAGAGAGAAATCACATTCAACCATATTACTCAAAATATACTCTATAAGTAATGCATTAGATATTGAGATGACTCTGAATTTGTTCTTGTTCCTTATATACACAATACTGAAATGTCACCTGGTTCTCCTGGAGGACCTGGTAATCCAACAGAACCAGGTCTGCCAGTAATACCAGGTGGTCCTGGAGGGCCTACAATACACAAGCCAGTTTCTCCTTTCTCTCCTTTTGTTCCTTTTGGCCCAGGAAATCCTGGGGGACCTCTCAGACCAGGTCTTGACACACCTTACCAAAAAGGAAAAAAATACAAAGATAAATTTAAACAAGAAATGGAATTTCAAAGCAATGTAAGTATTCAATCAGGTGAGTGAGAGATAAACATACTGAGTTCATCCCACAAATCTTTTTTTATCTCGTAATATATTAAATAATCACAATGAGAATGTAAAGATGTTTATAAATTATTTTTAACCTCTCTTTAATACTTGGCCCATCACAGCTTTTGGGTGGCAAATTTTTTACCACTTAGAGATGTGTTTGGTTTATAAATTATTTTTAACCTCTCTTTAAATACTTGGCCCATCACAGGTTTTGGGTGGCAATTTTTTTACCACTTAGAGATGTGTTTAAAGTCATCAGAAGTTAAGATTCCACAAAGCTGATTCAGCATAATAGTCAGGAAGAACAATGTATTTTATTGTTGGTACTGGATCATTTCACATACCTGGTCTACCAGCATCTCCAGGAGGACCCTGTGGCCCTGCAAAAGCAATGTATTTAGAACTTGAGTTAAATCACTGTATACTCTGTGAAGTCACTACTCAATAATATTGACTGCAAACTTTGGGTTTCATCATTGTAAGCTTATTTTATCTTTTTAAGAATTTGGTTTTGCCTGAGTAGGCATCTACTTACGCAACTGTTGCATACTGACAATTCTTACTGAAATCTAGCGAGATACAGATGTTTACAGCAGGTAGAAATAGGATCCACCATGTTTATCTTAGGTGGGGATGCGCTCAATTACTTGAGAATGACTTATAAGCCTGCAAACTTGCTTCTTTTTGCCATTATTTGATCTAGCAAATATACCACCTCTTAACAATGCATTAATATCTTTGTGAGGCTCAACTCTCCTGTTGCCATCCCTTGGAAGTATGTAAGTATATTTATAACAACAAAGCATATTCACTGAAAACAACACATTCACTTGGATACATAAATATTAATAAAACTAGAATATCAGAACACAGAAGGCAAGGACTTGCTGGATGAGTATTAAATATAGCCTACAAGATGCTGCCCCAGAGTTCAGCCACAAGTTATGTTGTGATACAGCTCAAATAACAAATCAGTACACTTTGATTTTACAGCATGGCCAAAATAAAAAAAAAATAAAAACGTGCAGATCTTTATTATTTAGGAATGATAGGCAATAAAAATGGCACAAGACAAACTTTGAATGCTACCAAAAGAAGGGGGGGGGAGAGAAAAAAGTGCATGACGTCTAACAGGAGACTTACAGCCCTGATATTTAGGAATGATAGGCAATAAAAATGGCACAAGACAAACTTTGAATGCTACCAAAAGAAGGGGGGGGAGAGAAAAAAGTGCATGACCTCTAACAGGAGACTTAGAGCCCTGATGGTTTGTCTATGGCATATACCAATAATGTACTGATGCAGTAGCTCACTGAGGTCATGAGACAGGATGTCAGTGAGCTTAGGTGCTCAACTCAATTATGAGCAAAGAAGTGTGTCAGCTTCATTATTTTTAAGAGGAAAAAGGGCCATAAATCAAAGTCTCAGGATACAGTTCAATTGTGCAATTTGTTGGGAGTAATTTGGAAATATTCTCGTAAAGGCAGAAGCAGGTTGCTGGGTGCTCAAAAACCTAGCCTGCAACAAGCCCTTTGAGTAGACAGCTCTTGCTAAAAGATTCTAGTTTTGGTGTGCCACTCACCAGGCATTCCACGTTGACCTTTTGGTCCTGGAGGTCCTGGGGGTCCTTCATCTCCTTTTTCACCAGTTGCACTATCATAATACTCTGTCTTAAGAGAGAGATGGTAAGGAAAGAAAGAACAGTAAGAACAGACAGAGAAGCACAGTACTGCATATTGAACATTTGGTTAGAACAAAGTTATGATCTCATTCATAATTTTGATGTTGTGACACTATGAGACCTTTCTAATCACATGGTAATTACAAGCAGCCAGAAACTAAATAATAACTGTTATACACAGATAATTCCAAGAGACCTGTACAAATAGACGGGATTGGGATTTCAGCTCAGTTCCTCAGCTCTCAGAGAACTCCTCTGCCAGGAGATGCAATTATACAGGCAAGGTATAAGTTGGAGACCCAATCACAAATATTACAGTAGCATGAAATAGAAAATATTCTTGAAAGAAACCTCTAGGAGTCACTTAGTCTTTTCCATTGGTTCAAAGCAGCATCAGCTATATCTAGACTACTTTTAAACAATCATACATGAAAACAGACAAAAATCAACTACGTAAATCATATGTGCATTAAAAAGTCATTCCTATAACAATATTTCATTTATTAAATTTTAATATTACGGTGTTTCAAAGTTTCCACAAATGACAGGCAAAATCAAAAGGCAATTTGCTGTAGCTCTGTATTTTTATAAAATTAACACCATCTGTTCTGGAACTAATTAGAGATCAGTTTAAAAAATTACCTCCTGTGAATTTTTTTAACTGTTCTGTGACAGTCCAGTGTCCTGACAAAATTCTGGAACTGAGTGAGGTCTAACGAGGCCCTGATCATGCACGCAGCTCCACATGAAGGAAGATGCCATCTCTGTCAGACTCCCAGCAACATCAGTATTTTGAGAAAGCTATGCCTCGATTAGGGTATCATGGGTCATCTGTTACTGCCTCATACAGTCAGTTTGACTTATTCTAATGGTTTAGAAAAAAGATATGACAAAGATAATTCACACTTACTCGACCACAAGCTCCAGGTGGACCAGTGCTTCCTTTCATCCCCTTCATCAGAGGGCAGAGATGAGTTTGTTTATTAAAAACAATATATGACATCACATTTGGCACCCACTGTTACTTCAGTACCTTGCTCATAACATTAAAGAGGAACTTCTGCTCCTGACCAGTCCTTCACCACCCCCATCTCTGTTCCTTAATCATTCAGCCACATACACCAAAAACTACAGGAACACATCAGCAGGCATAGATGGACACCGGTTGAAGCACACAATCTATTTCAGCTGATCCATTCCCTATTCCATATAATTACTTGTCATCTTTTAAGTAAAGTAAAACATATTGTTTACACAGTGATAAATAAAATGATATCATAAGCCCAAAACATACCTTATCCTCATCCTCAAAAGCAACAACAAAACCATTAGACAATACCTTAGGTCCTTGCCTGCCAGCCAGTCCTGGTTTGCCCTGTTCACCCTTTTGTCCCTGCAGGTGACAGCACACAACTTTATGAGGATTAATCTTTTAGCACTGTCATCAGTAAGATCTAAAATGGAAAACTTTAATCTTTCATGGTGATGTCAAAGTAAATGTGACTTGCTCAGGGGAAGAAATCTCAGGGAAAGGCTTAGTTGGGGGTACAGTTCCATGTCTGTAGGAAATACTGCAGGTCTCTTATCCAAACCTGCCTTTGTAACAGCACACTCCACCAGTCCCAAGGTGGAGCTACTCCAGACAGCACAAGTGTAGGAGTCTCCGATTTGCTCTTCCTCTGCAAACTACTATTTCTGAAAGGGGAGAAACTGAAAACAATGCGAGACTCAACATTTGGCAACTCCCCCTCCCAGAACTTGGTCAGTCTGCATGATGGTGCTGATCTCAAGAGCTGTCAGCAAGACCAGGAGGGAAAACAGTGCAGACTGCTGCTAAGGTGTTCTGCAAGGGTATAAATGCAAGGAAAAAGTACTTATCGGAAGCTTATGCAGTCGAATGCACTGCTAGTCAGTAAAGCTGAAACGTGAACAGAGCAATGATGTGCTTTTGTCATGACAGAAAGTTTTCTATTAGCTAAGGCAGTAGAGCTTTGCGGTCCGTCATTCCACATTCTTTGTCAGACTGGAATGTGTTTAGACTGTCTGTGAAGGTCGTTTTGGCATGATGAAGATGATGTTTTAGAAAGATATTTGTGAATTGGGCTATTATGACAATAAGAATTTTGATATTTGTAAAGTCACTGTAACCCTAATGATGTTGTTGAAGTGGAAGTGAAGTAAATATAAAAGAATTTATATTTAACCAATTAAATACAGTATTCCAAATACATTTGAATAACTTTAGCTTTTAAATTAGTACACAAATTAGATCATTTTGGCTACAAAATAGCATATCTTAAGAATTATGTGATGACAAGATGACAGTTTTAATATCTATCAGTCATCTTGTTTCAGGCCAAGGAAGTTATGACCTTGACAACAACCTTTGTAAAAGAATGTCTTTGATTCTAGTGATTAAAAAAATATTCATTTTGCTTCTTGACTTATGCTGAAATTACATGAAGGTATAACTTCTGCAAAAATTTCAGTGTGACTAATCAGAATTAAACTCAGTAGAACTAATTTTGCATAACTTGCACCATGTCTCTAACTCATTAGATTGTCAGCAGCAAGCAGCAGGTCTTTTTATTTTACACAGAGGAGCCAACATCTATGAACTGAGCCTCTCTCTCCTGCGTGAATCTATGAGGACATGGTATGTCCCAAGGCCAGCTGTGTGAAAGGAAATGTTTCACAGCATATGCAAATCAACACTTTCAAACACATTCTCCGATGGGAAAAAGCTGTGACAGGAAGATATGACTGTGATAAACAGATTATTATTCCTTAGAAAACATTTAAAAAGCTTCCTTCATTACCGGTAAGCCAGGTGGACCTGGGGCACCTTCTCTTCCAGGTTTACCCTACAAAGGAAAAAAAATAAAAGAAAATTAAAAAAAAAATTAAGAAGATCAAAAGAGGGGTCATTGCATTCAAAGAGCATAACAACTAAATGCTGTGCATATAACTGTATTTTAGATCTTTATAAATTTTGAAAAGCCATTAAGGTTATTTTTTAAATGTTCGTTATTTCTAAATATAACTAATGTTCATAAAACTCTACAAAACAGGGAGTAAGATATTCCCTGAACATTCCTCCTCCTTTGGAGGATTAGTTGTGCTGGTGAAGTGTCTGCCTCAAAGTGCTAGGCAAGTACAGAAAGCTTGGTGCAAAATCAGGTCCTTGCAGAAGCAAGACAAATGATAAAAGAGCAGCTAGCAGCCCTTCTAATGGTAAGCATGGAAAGATACTAAAGAGAAACCTTCATCGTACAGGAAATAGGGTTAAGAGATGACTTGAAGAGAAATTATTTAATGACAAAAAACGGAGTGCACTTCAAAGGTATCGGAAGTAGGGCAGTAGAGGGAAAAGTGAAAACAGAAGGAGGCAGCGTGCCAGAGGTATGTGCTGTTTTCTATGGCACACAGCACACTTGGCAGACTTCTGCTGGGGTCCTGGCATCTACTGGGGCAACAATACATGTTAAGCAATTAATAACAACAACAACAAAAAAAGACAAAGGGAAGTGAGAGAAGGGGGAAAAATAGGGAGAGAAACGAAATGAAATGAAACCATAATTCTGAATATGAATACCTTACTTGCCACCTTGAAGGCAGAAATGAGGAAAACCTGTTTCGTTAAAATCCACAGCAGGAAGATGATGAGATAAAAGGGGGGTGAAAGATTATGAGCTCAGAACAACAGGGGGAAAAGTACATTTTAGAAATCTGTTTTGCACAGCATAGATCAATGAAATGTAAAATAATTTTGAAAAAGATGACCAGACCATGAATTATGATGTAAGCATCATAAAAAAACAGCAATACTCAAAAGATGGCAGAACTTAACCAAAGGTGATATTCCAGAAGAGGAGGAGGTAGAATGGTGTAATCACAGGCTCAAAACTCAATTGCACAAAATAATAATTTTTTTTCTAGAACGTAAAATCCACAGCCATTTGATATTTTGTGCTCACTGATGTGAGCTCAATAGCAAAAGGCAAGGTTTTGTTTTTGTTTTAGAATAGCCAGCCAGTCAGTGTCTTAACACAATTTGTATTTCCTTAGCATTCTTCAAGGTCAATAAGCAGAAAAGCAGGGGTGGCTCTACTACTTCCTCCACAAAGACAGAAGGGAAAGGTGAAGGTGAGCAACAATGAAGTTGCTCCATAGCATCATCATCATTATATCACCATACAACTGAAAAAAAGAGCAATCTACAGGTAGTACTGGTCTTGCTACCTTTCCTTGTGGAAGAAAATTTATTGCAACCACAAGAAGCATAGGAAAAGTTTCAAAATATGTATGTCTGGACTGAATGAAATATTTCATTTGAAAATAATTTTTCTTAATATTGATTCCAAAATGTATTTGGAATCAAAATGTTCATAAAATGTCACAAAACATTTTGATTTATCTGGATATTTTAGGGTTCTCCCCTAATTACACACTGGTAAGCTGTTATGAATTAATACAGTTTTAGTTACTAAGAACCTGCATCTTGCATTGATTAATTTTTATCTGAATGTTTCAAAGCCATTTGAATGCAAAGTGGTACCTTTCTATTTAATTCTCTTCAACCTGTAGATACACTCAAGTAAATTATATTTTAATGTGCATGCTTTTTAAAATAAACATGTTTTCTCACGTGGCCATAAAATTATGTAACATATTATCCTGTTAACAGAATAACTCTCTTACAACAACTTTCTTCATGCCTCCACATACCTACTGGTTGAGCATATTAATTTAAGTCTGCTGCCTTAAGTAAACCCAACGTTTTTAATTCTCTTCTACATATACAATGGCACAATGAAGCCAGTACCTGTTCATTAGAGCACTTTTTTTTTTTTTAACTAAGTTTCAACAGTAGAACCTCTATAGCAAAACAAATAGAAGTGCATCCACCATCAGTTGACCTTTCCTTCATGTACTCATGGTATGTGAGCCTGTAAGAACAGTCATTTGACTTTCAGCTCTCTAGTCCAGTTTACTAGACGGAAGAGCTTTTGAATCTAAGAAAATTTGCCCTGAGTGGCATTGAAAGAAAAACCAGAGACTAACACTAGTGCAAAACTGCTTTTTAGAAAAGAGTAACATATGTGTATTCAATTGTTAGCACACACCTGCGGTCCAGGTTCTCCTCGGTCACCCTTCTCACTTTGAGAATCACCAACCGGCCCCTGTAACAAAAACACCCTCAAGATACGCATATTTTAAGACTTAAATTTTCTAAATTACATATATTTTTTTACCTTTAATAAAAAGTATAAAGTACAGTTAGAATGCTATTAATAGGTATTCTATTATATTCATTAGTTCTATTCATTGAAGGTTGCAATAAGTAGTGTAAATAGTGGACTCTAAAGAGTAGCATTTACTAGGTGATGCTGCCCAAACATCTGGATTTAAGGTATTTCCTTCCAGTCACTTACTGTAAACCCCATTGGCCCTGGAAGTCCTCTTGATCCTTTTTCTCCTTTCTCTCCTTTCAAGTCCTATAACACCGAAAATCAAAATTTAATATGATCTCTTGTATTTTTCTGTGCTTACTGTAACACTCAAGTTTTACAAATAGGAAATCCTTATGTTACCCGCAGGCTTCTTAAAGCAGAGATGGTTGTACTTAAACGACTAAAAGAAACAGAAACTTTGTATCAGTGCGCCTGCCCAAGTCTATGATATTTGAAAAAGAAATTGGCTCTGCACACATTTCTGAACATAGTAAGTTCAAAACCAGGTACCTGTGATTGAATGCAAGGGGACTGGATTAAATATCCCCAGAAATGGCAACAAATTGCAAGCAAGAAACTAATAAACCTTAGTTGCTTCACTGGAGCTACACTTACCTCCAATACATAAATACAGAGGCTACCCACCCGATCCTCGCCTCTGCAGGCTCAAGATTAGATTACCCTGCTGCGCAGTACTATTATGTATTGAGCCAAGTCTAAGGTCATTGTAAAGACTGAAGTTATGGACTGCCTGATTAGTACCTGGTTAGACTCATGCCCCAAACTATTTATATAAGGAGTTTTGAGGTGTTTTTAAACCTTAATACCTCTCGTCTGAAAAATTGCTGCTCCCCCATGATAAACTGCCCCAGCCAGGAAACACTCTAGGTGGTCCATGTTTGATTTAAACAGGGAAGACCTGCTGTGCCCAAAACCTGAACCTTGCTTCTGCAATCTTTCCTCTTCCCTCCTCAATACAGTCTTGATGCAAAATTCACATTTTATTTTAGCACATAATGGAGAGGGAGTTTTCATAACTCCATGGATTAGATGCAAATTAACTAAGGAAAACAGAGTCAAGAACAGGTTGTAGACTTGTTCTGTTAATAAGTGAAGACTTGAAACTGTATCAACTATAGTTGTTTAAGTTCTACACGAGGACAAAATGCAAGAATTTTAATTCAGAAAGCAATACTTAAAATGAAAGCTGTATTTCATTTTTCCAATACTAACTGTTTTTCCAACACTTTCACTCACGTTCCAGTAAAAACAATGCACAAATAAACTACAAAATGTACATGAACATGTTGTCAGCTTTTATGAAACTCTGGTAGCTCAGGGTCCTGATATTTTCAAGTGACAAGGCTCAGAGGCCAACACAGCTGTGGTTTTGATAGCCATTCAGAAAATCCATGTTGATTTGGCAAAGCTAAAAGTGATTTACTTTTCATGTACTCAGAGATCCACAGCAGGTGGGTTCCTAATAAGCACTTAGCATTCCTCTGCCGTCGTGCAGATGTGCATGTGAATACACATGCCTCAGCTGAGCTGGCTGTACAGACACACTCAAGAGCTTAATAACTAACTAAACAAGTCTGAAAAATGTTAGGATGGGTAAAAGGAAACGTTATCATCATAATGAAGATGAAAACATCCTCTTAAAGTAAAATGTAGTAAGACGGCTTAGCTGAATGTGATGTTTAACAATATTACTACCGTCATGTTGTCTGGTCCACTTAATGTCACAATAACGGTTCCTGGTGGTCCAGGGGGTCCAGTTAACCCAGTGTCACCCTTGAAAGAAAAAAAGAAAAGCAGAGCAGTTACAAGCAGTGTGTTTTTATTGTTTCAAATTACTATCACTATACTTTTGACATCATGAAAATTCTTCTGTCATTACTCTTAGCCATTAATATAGTTAACATTTCTCTTTGCTTGCTATTTATCTTCCAAAAAAAAAAAGCATATGGAAGACTTAAGGCTACTATGACAACCTTCTCCTAGCTGAGAAATAAAAATACATACACTGATTTCTGTTAAAGTATTTAAAATTAGCTTAAATTTTTAATACTATTTGTTTAAAAGTTATACAACCATTTCAACTCAAAATCAAATAAAATTATCTCCCTGATTATCATTGTTCTCCCAATTTAATTAAGTCAATCAATCAATACATGAACTATCTTTGGTGACATTCTCGAAACAGCAGTCTGTGTATTACAGGGAGATGATTGTAACATAGTACTGACAGATAAAATTAGTTTTCATGTGTCCTTAACCAAAAACTTTACTACCACAGTACACTTTCTCATTAAGGATCTTTTAGAATAGGGGAGGTCCTAAATGTGATCTTTCCTGTGGAGCTCAACAAAACATCCATAGTATCCAGTGATTTTAAGCCAGTGGAATGCCTTTGCGTGTACTTGCAGCGTAACAGCAAAGAATGCATCTCTCTTTCGTAAGCAAGATGCTCCATAGTCACCTGAGCTAATGCTGATCAACAATCAATTCCACCTGCAGAAATTTTCCCAGGAAACTTCTAGCACATTCCTGGTAGTAATTACAAAGTTAAAACCAAAAAGTAATGACAAAGTTAAAACCAATCCCACTCAGTTAGTGGTGTTTCAGTTTCCAGCTGAATCTGTGCAGGTCACTTAGCATAACTGGGAGATGCCCCAAGTTCTTGAAAGGATCCTATAAGGACATTCTGACTGACTACACTGGTCCTCAAATGGCAGGCTGAGGTCCTCAGAGACAATATATGTATTCATAGTCATTAATGTCAGTTATATGGGATACAAAGTAAGAACATGGATAAATCATCCAATTTTTATTCAAAATCTAGGAGGTTTTCTAGCATCATAAAGGCTGATGCTGAAAAGATATTGGCCATAAGAAGTTGTGAGTCTAAAGATGCTATATATTTACTGATGTTTACATGCTTAGATAAGCATTTAGGAACACTGTGCAAATTATATATAAATTAATTTAATGCTTTGTATTAGTAAATATTAATTACCAGCTGCTCTTAGGTTTCTCTGTGCAAATTATATATAAATTAATTTAATCCTTTGTATTAGTAAATATTAACTACCAGCTGCTCTTAGATTTCCACGCTTCTATCAGGAAGTTTATATAATTTGGTTTTATGTGAAAACAGTTTGTCATTAGATATTAATTGCCATGTTTCCATTTCCAAATAAAAGACTTCCACATATATACTGAAAATTTTTATTTCACAGTACTTGCTTCCCCAAACATTTCATCATAGTGTATCAGAAAAAGCAGAAAACAGAAACAAAACTCAAAAATGTTTTAAGCATTTTGTGCAATTACCTTTCTTCCTTTGGTTCCTATTACTTTCAGTCCCATAAGACCCTGTAAAAAATCCCCAAATGTTATTTTTTTTAGAAAAACATCTATAAAATGAGTTAATCAATGTTACACATAACAAGCAGTTTTCATTTTTATTACCAATCTGAGACTACCTTAGGTCCAGGAGGTCCTGCTTTCCCTGGCATGCCCTACAAAAAAGGCAAAAAAAATTCCTTAATTTAAAAAATTACAATCTTCACCACCAGTACAGGTGAAGTACCGCATTTTCACATGAGTTATATTACTATTTTTATTCTTTCTTCCACCTTTACAAGTGCCATTTGTTGTAAGTGGGTGACAGAATGTCTACATATAGTCTAGTGGCAAACATACGTATCTCTCATACAGTAATACATTAGTATTTAAAGTGTATTTATGAGTAATTATTTGAAAATTCAAATTTATGCCTACATGGCCGAAGATGCTTCTGAAAACATGTAAATTATCATGCATAAAAATAATCAAAGGAAAATGAAAAAAAATCAGATGTGTGCAGAAGGATATGGATTTCACCTACACATGTCTCTAGACCTCAAGTAAGTCTAGGAGTCAGGTACTTGGATACATGTAATTCCATAGGTTTATGGGGAAAATCAAAGGTTAAAGTAACAAGTGAGACAGAAGTTCATACTCACTGAAGGTCCTGGAGGGCCCTGTGGTCCAAGTTCCCCAGGATATCCCTGAGCACCCTGGGCACCCTGAATATTAAAAAAGAAACAGGAATAAATCTCCTGTCAAGATTATGAGCAAACCACAACACTAAATTCAATGAACTATGTAACAAACAGAGGAGCAGCACTGTCTCTGTATTTCCATTTCACATCTCAGGATAACATATAAGTATGATACCTCCTCACTGCTTCATTGGTTGGCATATGTTTTGAAACATAACAAAACATATCTGTTTTTAAACTGAACTACTCAAGTGAGGATGTATGCCCTGTTTAACTGTGGACATCCTCATAATCCATATAGTCCTACTGCTAGCCCTAATAAGCCTTTAATCTTTTGAATAGTCTATGCAGTGAATTCTGTAAAGCTTCATTTTCAAAGAAACGGAAAATTTAAAATTTTTATTTTTCTTTTAATTTAATGTCCTTCGTTTATTTTAACAGTCAAAAGAATTGTCTGCTCTGCCTTCTCCTATTAATCTCCCTTTTTAAAATATGGATCATATTGTCCTTTGTTAGTACTCCAGAAGTTGAGCTGGTCTAATCCATTCAATCTGACTTCATGGGGAATTTTTGCAGTTGGACTAGATGGTCATTGTAGGTCCCTTCCAACTGAACTGTTCTATTCTATTTTACATGTAGGGGTAAACCCCTAAATCTATGACCAGTTTTTCTCTATTTATAAAGTATTGCTGTTTGTCTGCAACCTGACTTCCCTATCTCACTTTATTAATGAATAATGGATGCTATTGGTTCTGATGGCAAATTAATTACTACTGTCTTGGTGTACTCGGCTTTGTAAAGTCAGAAGAAAGACCTTGAATATATTGTATTAAACAGATTATATAAAGTTAATATTTTTTAAAGACACAGAATTATTTTCTGGTTTAGAAATTAGTGAGATTAGAAATTACTTGCCAAAAATACTATATCTATAGAAAATATGTAATACATTAAAACTATATATAAAAATAATT